TGGGATTTCGTTTCATATGCTTGATACATGGAATTACATTAAGCAGTAAAAGCACTTCATTCAAGGGACGTTACTCTACATGAATTGGTTGATAGGCATTACTTAGAAGTTGATGGATGACAAAGTAGAGATAATTTATGGATAACAACTTCTTTAATAACTATAAAGGCGACGTTTCGGTGCAGATCTTTATACCAAGCCTTGCTTGACAACGGTATGAGGATCCATACCGAAACGTCACCTTTAAGTAAATAAAGAAGTTGTTATCCATAAATTATCTCTACTTTGTAACTCTACACGTTTTAAAAATGTCTTTAATAATGTTGTGCAGTCCATGCCTAATACTGAGTACTATCATAATGGAAACTACTTATTTGTCTTAAAATGCATGTAGCATGAAAAATAGTAATAACTTTTTTCTTTCACGTCATTATGTAGCCAGTATGGTGTACAATACGATGGATAAAGATAAAAATAATAGATGTGAAAACGTGAAGTTAGCGCTGTTACGCTTAATTAAAAGTACGTTGTACTAGGTCTGTATTTGTCACAAGCCAAACGAATCTTAAAAGCACTAACAAGGAGGCGTGGCTTAAATAGCACGACTGGCTAGGCCTGCAAGTTCTTTGGATATTACCATCAGCCGGGTACAGAATATACGCGATCGTTTCATTAGTTGTTTGGAGACCAGTGGTGTATATATACTACTGGTATGGATTCCATGTATGTCAGGGGTAAGGCTAGTGGGGGCGTGTCAAGTAACCATGATTTAACGTGAATTATATAATTTTAACATCGTATGATAATTTCCTTTTCAATTATAGGGGCGCGGATGCCCATGGGGATGCATACTTCTTGCCTTAATGTCTTACCCCAAATTTGACATAGATGTTATGAATGAGTCCAGCATTTCACATATTGTTTTCTCAGTAAACTTCATAGCATTTGCTTTCATTTTATCAATTTTCCCTGAACCTCTGAAGATAGATATGGAAATGTATCTTTAGTCACTACGTTTGTCACAAAATGGATCAAGGAATGAGGTTTCCCTTCAGTTCGTAATGTGGGATTGTCGTATACCCACCCGACCCGGGTACCCGAGTTACCAGTCCCAGCCCTACAACGCACAACATATTAGGAGCATGAGTTGCAGTAAATTATTTCCATCTAAAACCGATCTTCCCAACACATATTTCTAAATACAAAGATGACTGAAAATGATGACACACATGGTTACAATTTAACTGTCAAGGAAGTAATATGATGAGGTTTAGATTTTTCTCTTTACATCATAAGTACCTCGCATTAGGCGAATGCCTACGCTTGTCGAGACTTCCTGCACACAACTGCATATGTAAGATGCTGATTCAGATTCTTAGTTCTTGCCTTTGGCCGTGTGGCTGCCAACATCGTCCAGCACTCATGATTGGTTGGTTGGTTTGTTGTTTTACGCCGCACTCAGCAATATTCCAGCTATATGACGGCGGTCTGTAAATAATCGAGTCTGGACCAGACAATCCAGTGATTAATATCATGAGCATCCATCCACGCAATTGGGATCGATGACATGCATCAACCAAGTCAACGAGCCTGACCACCCGATCCCGTTAGTCGCCTTTTACGACAAGCATGGTCACCTTTTACGGCAAGCATGGGTAGCTGAAGACCTATTCTACCCCGGACTCTTCACGGGTCTCCCAGCACTCATGACCATATGCAGCACTCATGACCATATGCAGCACTCATGACCATATGCAACGCAGAGGGTCATAGGATGGTGAGTTGATATAAAAAATGGAAAATATGAACAGGAGGTTTCCAAATTGGTCACCAAGAACTTTATGGATATCTAGTGCAAAGAGTTTACAATTATTTTCAGCTAAAACCGAACACATATCTTTGAATTCAAAGATGACTGAAAATGACGACATACAAACTATATGCAATTTGACTGTCAAGGAAGTAATATGATGAGGTTACATTCGTTCTGTTTACTTTAGTACCTAGCATTAGGCTAATGCCAACGCTAGTCGAGACCTCCTGCCCTTGCAGTATCATGAATCAAGTGTAGCCGAAACCTGTCAAACTTTGGGTATTCCAGTTCGGAATACCGTACCCTTTATAAGTATAATTTGATTCTACACCAACCCTACGGAGAACCATGTGGCGTGTGTATTCAGTATCGATCACAATTGTGTCAGTGAGAATCCATTAAACATGTATATTTGCAACAAAGGATCAATTTAAACATTAGTGAGTGAGTGAGTGAGTATGGTTTTACGCCGCTTTAGCAATATTCCAGCAATATCACGGCGGATGACACCAGAAATGGGCTTCACACATTGTACCCATACCAGGAATCAAACCCGGGTCTTCGGCGTGACGAGCGGACGCTTGAACCACTGGACTACCCGACCGCCCCAATTGAAACATTAAAGTTACTCACTCGATGCAGGGACAAATTTAAATAAAAGAAACAACAGTTTTTTCTTTATCATGAGAAATATCCGTAACATCGAGCCCAATGTTCGATTCCGACTATAACATGAGCATGTTTTTATGAATCACAATCAAAATAGTGATGATACCAGGAGTTCGCAGAAAGGTGAGCGTATCCTGACTATGACAAAAGGGAGCATTTGGTACAAGACAAAAAAAAAATGGAAATTGCATCGGACATATTTATTTTTTTTGTCGCTAGGGAATCTCAAACTGAATTTTCCCAACAGTCACATCCATTCATTATGTCTATGGTCAGCCCGGGACAAGTTGCTTAAATCTAACCTGATGTTTTGCTTTGGTTTCTGAATGCATGGTTATCTTTTAATGGCATTTTAAATTCTCGTAGAAGACAACCCACCTTCCGACTTCAATTTTTTTTATGTTGTTATAGAAATGTCAGCCATTGGTCGTTTAAGACCTAGTTTCAACATTACTCAGTATCAGCATGCAATGCACAGCAGTATTAAACACACGTTGCATCTTCAGAACGTGTAGAGTTACGTCCCTTTAATTGAGCGGTACAACTGCTTACTGTGATGCTAGTTGTCATGCATATGCTACGAAATCCCAGTAATGGTGTTCACGTCGTCTACAGAAAGGCAGTCCTTATATACACATGGCAGGACCTACGGAAATTGGGAATTACTAGATAGATTCTGATCTGAACAATGTCTTCATCATTGTGTTAGATTTTTTTACAGCGTTACATCAGGGTTACATACTAGTATTCATCCTGCAAGAAATACTTTAATCCAGCTGATGTGAATAAAGTATGATTATTCAGCCATTTGTGCTATGAGTGAGTGAGTGGATTGGAGGGTGGGTGGTTGGGAGGGAGGATGGGTGAGTGAGTGAGTGAGTGAGTGAGTGAGTGAGTGAGTGAGTGAGTGAGTGAGTGAGGTCACTTTTACCAATATTATGCTGGGGAACACCTGCAATGGGGTTTGCACATTGTACCCAACTGGGGCAGAGAACCCGGAGTTTGGCGCGACGAACCAACGCCTTATCTACTAGGCCATCCCGCTTCAGACGACGTTTTCAGTATCATTTCTTTCTTTTTGAGACAAATAATATCACCATAATATCTAACCATTGTGTTGTTAAATGGCAGTGTAACTTATTTTGTTAAACACTGATTGTAACTGAATTACATTGTTTCTGTAGATTCAGTAGGTTATGGTTAGTTGTCAGGAATGGAGTACTATTTAATGTAAGCATTGTTGAGGAAGTTGAGATGTTCGAATTACAAAATTTTAGCCTTATGACAAGAGGGATGACTTCAACTTTCCAATAGTAAACTTTCCCTTATTATTGATGTACAATCAAGCATGCTCTTTCTAGCAATATTTCAAAGAGCGTCGTACAACATTCAAGGTGTAAGTTAAGCTTTCAAAATGTGGAGGACATTTCCAAATTTCACGCATCAGAGACAAGAATGATGTCCCATGCAATTCCCTATTTTGATTCCCGTGTTTGTTTGTTTTTCAGTTGAACAATTGACTTGCTTTTGTATGTGTTATGAATCGTAGGATCTATTGTCTGACATGATTCTTCGTGTGAGGGTGTCAATACCCTGAATTTCTTCTTCTTCTTCTTCTTCTTCTTCTTCTTATCATCATCATCATTATTATTATTATTATTAATATTGTTGTTGTTGTTGTTGTTGTTATTATTATTGAAAGTGTTCTGTCGTTTTTATTTACATCGCTTTAACAATATTCAAACCCAACTACGACTGGGAAACCAATATACCTAACAAGTCGTACCAATAGAGGAAGTGTGTGGTAAGCCAACACGAGAAGCACAGGGTATATCAAACGGTATTTAAGGCATCTCCTGACATTGATTACTTGAACATCATTTTGCAAATTGTATTTTAAGTTTCATAAACAATTCGGGTTTTGTTTATTTGGCGCCAATGAACGCCACTATATCATGTTAAGAAGGCCAGGTACCGGTTGGTATGCACCAAATAACCAATGATTTTTAAAGTATTTTCGGTGCGGTAAATATATCGTTCAGACGGTACTTTTTGATGCTCTGTCATCATATTTGAACATATAAACTGATATCAAGCCAGCTATCTGTGCATAATTTCATTTTTCTGATGTGATATTCAGCTTGATAAGAGCGATGAATTTAAGTGTGAGTGCGCATCAATTCACGCTGCTAATAAATGATAGATAAAGAGTGAGTGAGGGAGTATGGTTTTACGCCGCTTTTAGCAATATTCCTGCAATATAATGGCTTCAGGCAATGGATGAGGAAATTGCGAGTGTCGATGTTGACACATTGTATGTGTTATGATCAGCATTTAATTTTTTTAGTAATGAAATTTAAGTTTTATTAGTATCGTATCTATGTAATCTTATCAACATAATCGTGAATAATAATGTCGTCTTTACGACCCACCTGCTGCAAGAATGGTATACATGTCCTGAACACTACTGTATATATAAAGTTGCTAGCATCCACCAATTCCATCAGACAAAGGCACCGACGACTAAAGATGCTGCTTCAGATTCTTCTGGTGGTGTTGGCAACTAGCAGCTATGGGGCTGCCAATAGTGCCCTACGTTATGAACATGTGCAACAAACAAGATCTGAGGACGGTGAGTTACATTCATTGATAATATCCAAGGATTGTGCTAACGTACAATTACGTTGATAGCAAATACAAGGGTTACAGTTATGTCTAGATAAAACCGAATTTCATAAAACATTAGACCTTTTCAAATGGACTCAGAATAAAGACAATCTGACTGCCATTCCACAGTTTTCTTAAACGAGCCAAGTATGTGGGACATAATCTCATTGTCAATATGTTTTGGTTGATGGTTCTGTACTTCGGGGCGGTACAGAAATGAGTGTCAAACAACGAAGTGCCATATCAGATCGGCAAAGACTCTGTTTTTCAAGTAGAGGCTTTCTGAACAACCATTACATCGAATTTATGAGAAGATGAGCAACATGATGGTGTGGCTCGATCATTTTATTATCGTCTTCCCCATATGTGTGGTTTTGACACAGGCCCACCACGTTACGACCCAGAATATGTAGCGGGCATCATGTAAAATGATAAATACCAAATTCTGTGGAATAGGTCCGTATGCACCCTCAAACCCGATCAAGCCAAAAAAAACCCGATCTTGTCCTTTTTGATAAATCCAATGAAATCATTTGTGTCATTGAATTTTCCGTCCCTTTTGACACTACTGTGATTGACAAGATTGAGGAAAAACATAGCACATATGCGCCCTCGCTTTCGAATTATCATGCTTGCATCCCAAGTACAAACATGTCCGATTCCCCATTGTTGTCGGTGCCTTGGGTTTGGTACTTCCCAATCTGTTGACTGGTATGGGTAGAGTTTGCTGCCAGGAAAACAGTCCTTTTGACAATCTGGGCAATGCAGGAGGCTGCAGTGTGAGGGATTTTACACATTCTCCGAAAAGTCCTGGGTGGGTCTGACTGGGCAGGGCGTCCTGGGAGTCTCAATCATAATGCAACAATTACTACAATTACTACTCCCTTGTTGTCATCCATGTTTCATAGTGTAACGTTACGCTGGTGTATTTGTCGTCATTCACTTGATGCTCAGTTAATTAATATATTACAGGAATAATAAGGAGTAGCACCACTCAGATTACCTGACAAAGGTTCACATTTGGGATAACTTGTCTCTTAGGGAATTATTCAATCTTAGATTTGCTTATAAATCCAGGTCTGAAGTGGGGTGAAGGGTGTGTTGTGTAATACGCACGTGACAGCGCTGCTTGTGTGGAATAATCAGTTGAGTTACAAAAAAGACATCCATCAAAGGATTAACCAAAAATACGTTGATTGATTAAAAACTGTTATATTTCACAGTGGATTTGTCAAAAGTAAACGTTTATATGTATAGGTTTACTAAAGCAGTCGGAATACACCCATATATTTGCGAAATTACATAACGTTGGTCAGTTGTAATTACGACATTTTGTTTTCATTCATTTGCTGTAGCATTGAACAGAATCATTCTTGTTCCTCAACGTTATCGTTAGGAAGTTCTTTGACGTGAGACAGACAACACTAAGTCGTTGTTTTCACGAGCCCCTACGTTTGTAGGCATGTATATGCCACATACAATGTGTAAAAATCGATTCATTTATATAGACAATTTATAAAATGTCTAAATTATACAAATTGACTGCAAAATCTGTCCATCTATTTAACAGATTAACTAAAAATTATTAAGAAGGGCTTAAAAACACCACAAAAGACTAATTATGCTAGGTATAAACGGGAAAAGACAAAGGCAACAACGAGTCCCTGTGAATTAGATCCGGGATAGAATAGGTCTTCAGCAACCCATGCTTGCAGTAAAAGGCAACTATACTTGTCGTAAAAGGCGACAACGGGATCGGGTAGTCAGGCTCGCTGACTTGGTTGATGCATGTCATCGATCCCAATTGCGTGGATGGATGCTCATGATATTAATCACTGGATTGTCTGGTCCAGACTCGATTATTTACAGACCGCTGGAATATTGCTGAGTGCGGCGTTAAACAACAAACCAACAAACCAACCAACCCTGTGAATTGTCAGAGATCAGTGCACCTTTAAGCCAATCACATCTTTATTCTTAAGGCCCTCCATTCATTAAGTTGCAAGTGAACCATTAAGTACCTTATAAGTTTGCGATTCATTCCGTTTTGTGAACCATTCATTCCGTTAGGAATAAGCTGATCATTTTTTGTTCTTAAGGCATATTCATTCTGAAAAAATAAAGCGACAAGAACCCTTTCCATAATCATGAGAAATCACTGCTAAAAGCAAAGTCCATCGTACCACTCCGACTATTTCTTAAACATGTGTATAGGGACCACAATACTATAGTGTTGATACTGGGTGTTCTCGAAAAGGTGAACATACCCCACCCCACTGGTGGTTCCCATCACAAACATATGCAAAGCAAGGCAAGTGTTCACCTAAAACAAGGGAACATATAGTTCAAGTCAAAAAGGGAACCGCATTGGACATCATAATGGTTATTGGTGTGTCGCATAAGGACATGTCATCCACATAAACATAAAACGTTTCAAAAACTTTACAAAGGCCTAAAATGTTTCAACCTTAAAGCAAATTATTGAGCAATAGTATTATGATGATTTTTTAAAAATCTTTGTAGACGATAATGTAGCTCAACATTTGTGAAATGTAGGCACCAAAAGGTTATCCCTCTTGTCATCCCTCTTGTCATTCAGCCTTGTGGTAAATTTATTGTCACTCTGAATCTCCGAATCGCATAAATCAAACTTGTATTACCAGATCAGGAGGATAAATCAATGAAAGGGAAGAGGCAATTTGACTGTTATTGGACGCTTTTTGTCACAATTTTTGGCCAAATTTCCTTGGTTTGGTTTTGAAATTCCTATTCATATGCATAAAAGAACAGATCAACAAGAAGGGGGACACAATTAGTGCCCATTGGAATGGCTACTTCTCACCCATGTCCTTTCCCGAGGTTACACACTGATGTCATTTATGAGGATGTCCAGCAGTTTCATAAATTGTTTTCTCAGTAAACATCAGATGACAATTGCTGCTATTTTTAACAAATTGTCCTCAAACTTTGACGACAGGGACGTGAGGTTTTCCTTAACCTTCTCGCGTTCGAAAGTGTTTTACATTGTGGAAACATCAACTATTTTGAAAGAATTGATTGAAGTTGGTTCTCTTCTGAGATTGCAAGATTTCAAGCAAATCATTTGAGGTTTGAGCATCCCCACGCTATAAGTTCTAATTGTCTCAAATAGTTTCCATGAATGCAAAAAGTCTCCTTCCTTGATTATGTTAAGAATTGAGATAAACCTTTGGAACTTGCGATATATATATTAGTATGTAAGGTGAGAAATATTGAAGTCAGTCAATAGGTGTCGCTTCATTATGATGTGATCCGTAATACTACAGGCAGACGGTTACTATTAAATCTTTTGTTTCGTTTGTCTAGTCATGCATTGTTTAATCTGAATCCATGGGAAATTCGAATGACTTTTGTGAGTCAGGAGAATAATATTATCACCACTATTTTTCCTTTTGCCTAAAATGTATCAGCACAAAATCGATTATTATGGCGTTGACATTGTGTACTAGTATCTCCCATGCTATGATTTCAGTTGAATTATAACTGTTTTGTTTTAGATGGTGAGGTAGACCGAGATATCAAAATGCTTGGTAAGAATTACTTTGTATTTGCATGCCATTGGATAATATGCACTCTGTAATCAGTGTTTTATAATGACCTTGACAGAAATCATTATGGAAAAAACGAACAATAATATGGTATTAAGGTCAATATACATAGCACGCATTTGATGTTAGCGACCCAGCGACAATGCCAGGAGGATACATACACATATACTCTAGAAACTTATTGATTTGCTAAATAACACCAAAACATGGAAGTGCAAACAGTGTCTAAAAAAGCTGCTTCTTTTCTTGCTTTTAGAAATAGAGTTTCAGAACGCAGTTTCCTTAGACTTCCATAAACGTTTGTTATGATACATTTTTCCTTGATACAGCACTGTTTGTTTGTGATGTATTAAGATCGACAATTTTCAAACACTCATAGATGAAGACAAAGATGTGGGAGAAAGGATAGATATTGTCGCGATATGGCACTGTTGGTGTGCAGATATATCAAAGGCCGGTCCTGTTGTTTGATTTAAACGTATGATGCAACTTCTTCAGATTTGCAATACGTTTTCCGTATCATTGTTTTAGAAGAAGAAGAAGAAGACGAAGATGGGGAAGACGAAGAAGATGAAGAAGAAGAAGTAGACGAAGACGAAAAAGGTTGATATTACTAACGCATACTTCCATGTAGTTATTTATTGTTTCCTTACAGAATCGGAATTTCTGTCATTCCAAAGAAATTCCAACTGGTGGTCAAAGGATATTTTTTATCTTTTATATGAAACTGTATTCTTGCAGATATTAGTCTGGTCAGTAATCTTCCTCATGTAAAGCTAAATGGATTTCTTAGTATTTATTACTCACTTTTCCCAAAATTGTTTTAAACAAAGATAAAGACGAAGACGATTATAAATCCTCCAAATTTACAATTGTTTTCCTTCGTCATGATCATTTCAAGAAATTCAACTGCAAGAAGACAGGATATGTGTATATATTCATTTATACTCTGTAGTTAGGGATGCCAGTTATGTACTGTGATTTAGACACATGATGTTATAAATGCAATGTCTTCAAATTTGCAAAACAATTTTCTGATTAAAGTTCTAAAAGAAGAAGAAGATGAAGACGAAGAACGACGAAAACGTGAGGAAGACGAAGAAGATGAGGAAGATGAAGAAGGTTAATACAACCACACACTTCAAGACACTTATTTATTGTTTTCCTTTCAATCAGAATTGTGTGGCATTGTTAAAAAAATTCTAGCTTTTCAGGGGACAATGTAATATTATGCCATCCTGATATGACACAACAGTATTGTAAATATAACAAAGGCCATTTCTGTTCTTTGATTTAAACACATAATCTTATATATGTATGGAACTTTTTCACATTTACAATACAAGTTCCGTGTCAATGTTCCAGATGAAGATGAAGATCGCAGAAAACGTGAAGAAGACGAAGATGAGGAAGACGAAGAAGATGAGGAAGACGAAGAAGATGAAGAAGGTTAATACAACCACACACTTCCAGACACTTATTTATTGTTTTCCTTTCCAATCAGAATTTTGTGACATTGTTCACAATTTTCTAACTTTTCAAGGAAGAATGTAATATAATGCTATCCTGATATGACACAACAGTATTGTAAATATAACGAAGGCCAGTTCTGTTCCTTGATTTAATCACATAATCTTATATACAGATGCAACTTTTTCAAATTTGCAATACATGTTCCAGATGAAGATGAAGATCGCAGAAAACGTGAAGAAGACGAAGATGAGGAAGACGAAGAAGATGAGGAAGACGAAGAAGATGAAGAAGATGAAGAAGGTTAATACAACCACACACTTCCAGACACTTATTTATTGCTTTCCTTTGCAATCAGAATTTTGTGGAAGGAAGAATGTAATATTATGCTATCCTGATATGACACAACAGTATTGTAAATTTAACGAAGGCCAGTTCTGTCCCTTGATTGAAACACATGATCTTATATATGAATTCAACTTTTTCAAATTTGCAATACATGTTCTTTGTCAATGTTCCAGATGAAGATGAAGATAGCAGAAAACGTGAAGAAGACGAAGATGAGGAAGATGAAGAAGATGAGGAAGAAGACGAAGATGAGGAAGACGAAGAAGATGAGGAAGATGAAGAAGATGAGGAAGATGAAGAAGATGAGGAAGATGAAGAAGATGAAGAAGGTTAATACAACCACACACTTCCAGACACTTATTTATTGCTTTCCTTTGCAATCAGAATTTTGTGGAAGGAAGAATGTAATATTATGCTATCCTGATATGACACAACAGTATTGTAAATTTAACGAAGGCCAGTTCTGTCCCTTGATTGAAACACATGATCTTATATATGAATTCAACTTTTTCAAATTTGCAATACATGTTCTTTGTCAATGTTCCAGATGAAGATGAAGATAGCAGAAAACGTGAAGAATACGAAGATGAGGAAGATGAAGAAGATGAGGAAGAAGACGAAGACGAAGAAGATGAGGAAGACGAAGAAGATGAGGAAGATGAAGAAGATGAAGAAGGTTAATACAACCACACACTTCCAGACACTTATTTATTGCTTTCCTTTGCAATCAGAATTTTGTGGAAGGAAGAATGTAATATTATGCTATCCTGATATGACACAACAATATTGTAAATATAACGAAGGCCAGTTCTGTTCCTTGATTTAAACACATGATCTTATATATGAATTCAACTTTTTCAAATTTGCAATACATGTTCTTTGTCAATGTTCCAGATGAAGATGAAGATCGCAGAAAACGTGAAGACGAAGATGAGGAAGATGAAGAAGATGAGGAAGACGAAGAAGATGAGGAAGACGAAGAAGATGAAGAAGATGAAGAAGGTTAATACAACCACACACTTCCAGACACTTATTTATTGCTTTCCTTTGCAATCAGAATTTTGTGGAAGGAAGAATGTAATATTATGCTATCCTGATATGACACAACAGTATTGTAAATTTAACGAAGGCCAGTTCTGTCCCTTGATTTAAACACATGATCTTATATATGACTTCAACTTTTTCAAATTTGCAATACATGTTCTTTGTCAATGTTCCAGATGAAGATGAAGATCGCAGAAAACGTGAAGAAGACGAAGATGAGGAAGATGAAGAAGACGAGGAAGAAGACGAAGATGAGGAAGATGAAGAAGATGAGGAAGACGAAGAAGATGAGGAAGATGAAGAAGATGAAGAAGGTTAATACAACCACACACTTCCAGACACTTATTTATTGCTTTCCTTTGCAATCAGAATTTTGTGGAAGGAAGAATGTAATATTATGCTATCCTGATATGACACAACAGTATTGTAAATTTAACGAAGGCCAGTTCTGTCCCTTGATTTAAACACATGATCTTATATATGAATTCAACTTTTTCAAATTTGCAATACATCTTCTTTGTCAATGTTCCAGATGAAGATGAAGATCGCAGAAAACGTGAAGAAGACGAAGATGAGGAAGATGAAGAAGATGAGGAAGACGAAGAAGATGAGGAAGACGAAGAAGATGAAGAAGATGAAGAAGGTTAATACAACCACACACTTCCAGACACTTATTTATTGCTTTCCTTTGCAATCAGAATTTTGTGGAAGGAAGAATGTAATATTATGCTATCCTGATATGACACAACAGTATTGTAAATTTAACGAAGGCCAGTTCTGTCCCTTGATTGAAACACATGATCTTATATATGAATTCAACTTTTTCAAATTTGCAATACATGTTCTTTGTCAATGTTCCAGATGAAGATGAAGATCGCAGAAAACGTGAAGAAGACGAAGATGAGGAAGATGAAGAAGATGAGGAAGAAGACGAAGATGAGGAAGACGAAGAAGATGAGGAAGATGAAGAAGATGAAGAAGGTTAATACAACCGCACACTTCGAGACACTTATTTATTGCTTTCCTTTGCAATCAGAATTTTGTGGAAGGAAGAATGTAATATTATGCTATCCTGATATGACTCAACAGTATTGTAAATTTAACGAAGGCCAGTTCTGTCCCTTGATTTAAACACATGATCTTATATATGAATTCAACTTTTTCACATTTACAATACATGTTCTTTGTCAATGTTCCAGAGGAAGATGAAGATAGCAGAAAACGTGAAGAAGACGAAGATGAGGAAGATGAAGAAGATGAGGAAGAAGACGAAGATGAGGAAGACGAAGAAGATGAGGAAGACGAAGAAGATGAGGAAGATGAAGAAGATGAAGAAGGTTAATACAACCACACACTTCCAGACACTTATTTATTGCTTTCCTTTGCAATCAGAATTTTGTGGAAGGAAGAATGTAATATTATGCTATCCTGATATGACACAACAGTATTGTAAATTTAACGAAGACCAGTTCTGTTCCTTGATTTAAACCCATGATCTTATATATGAATTCAACTTTTCAAATTTGCAATACATGTTCTTTGTCAATGTTCCAGATGAAGATGAAGATAGCAGAAAACGTGAAGAAGACGAAGATGAGGAAGATGAAGAAGATGTGGAAGTAGACGAAGATGAGGAAGACGAAGAAGATGAAGAAGATGAAGAAGGTTAATACAACCACACACTTCCAGACACTTATTTATTGCTTTCCTTTGCAATCAGAATTTTGTGGAAGGAAGAATGTAATATTATGCTATCCTGATATGACACAACAGTATTGTAAATTTAACGAAGGCCAGTTCTGTCCCTTGATTTAAACACATGATCTTATATATGAATTCAACTTTTTCAAATTTGCAATACATGTTCTTTGTCAATGTTCCAGATGAAGATGAAGATCGCAGAAAACGTGAAGAAGACGAAGATGAGGAAGATGAAGAAGATGAGGAAGAAGACGAAGATGAGGAAGACGAAGAAGATGAGGAAGACGAAGAAGATGAGGAAGATGAAGAAGATGAAGAAGGTTAATACAACCACACACTTCCAGACACTTATTTATTGCCTTCCTTTGTAATCAGAATTTTGTGGAAGGAAGAATGTAATATTATGCTATCCTGATATGACACAACAGTATTGTAAATTTAACGAAGCCCAGTTCTGTCCCTTGATTTAAACACATGATCTTATATATGAATTCAACTTTTTCAAATTTGCAATACATCTTCTTTGTCAATGTTCCAGAGGAAGATGAAGATCGCAGAAAACGTGAGGAAGACGAAGATGAGGAAGATGAAGAAGATGAGGAAGAAGACGAAGATGAGGAAGACGAAGAAGATGAGGAAGACGAAGAAGATGAGGAAGATGAAGAAGATGAAGAAGGTTAATACAACCACACACTTCCAGACACTTATTTATTGCTTTCCTTTGCAATCAGAATTGTGTGGAAGGAAGAATGTAATATTATGCTATCCTGATATGACACAACAGTATTGTAAATTTAACGAAGGCCAGTTCTGTCCCTTGATTGAAACACATGATCTTATATATGAATTCAACTTTTTCAAATTTGCAATACATGTTCTTTGTCAATGTTCCAGATGAAGATGAAGATCGCAGAAAACGTGAAGAAGACGAAGACGAGGAAGATGAAGAAGATGAGGAAGAAGACGAAGATGAGGAAGACGAAGAAGATGAGGAAGACGAAGAAGATGAG